TGACTAACGGAGTGAAGCAGGGCTGTGTGCTGGCGCCTACCCTCTTCAGTCTCATGTTCTCTGCCATGCTGATGGACGCCTACCGCGACGAACGCCCCGGGATCCGCATCGCCTACAGGACGGACGGTCATCTCCTGAATCAACGGCGCATGAACTTCCGATCGCGTGTATCCACAGCCACCGTGCACGAACTCCTCTTCGCCGACGACTGCGCCCTGAACACCACCTCAGAAGAGGAGGTGCAACGGAGCATGGACCTATTCTCCGCCGCCTGTGTGAACTTTGGGCTGGTAATCAGCACGCAGAAGACGTTGGTGATGCACCAACCTCCGCCCAAATCAGCCACAGCCCCCAACGCGTCGCCGCAAATCAGCGTGAACGGAACCCAACTGCAAGTGGTAGAGAACTTCCCGTACCTGGGAAGTACCCTATCTCGCAACACCAAGATCGATGACGAAGTCGCCAACCGAATCTCGAAAGCCAGTCAAGCCTTCGGTCGCCTCCAAAGCACCGTTTGGAATCGTCATGGTCTCCAGCAGAGCACGAAGCAGAAGATGTACAAGGCCGTCATCCTGCCGACGCTACTGTACGGAGCAGAGACCTGGACGGTGTACACGAGGCAGGCACGTCGACTAAACCACTTCCACCTCAGCTGTCTCCGCCGCATCCTGAGGCTGAACTGGCAGGACCGCATCCCCGACACCGAAGTGCTAGAACGGACGGGAATTCTAAGCATCTACTTCATGTTGAGACAAATGCAGCTTCGCTGGAGCGGCCATCTGGTGCGCATGGACGACGAGCGACTACCCAAACGACTCTCCTACGGAGACGTCGCGACGGGTTCTCGTCGTCAACGAGGCCAAATTCGCCGATACAAGGATACTCTGAAGTCCTCCCTGAAGCGCCTGCACATCAACCCGACCAACTGGGGAGAGCTCGCCCGCGATCGTCCGACATGGAGGAGAACAGTGAAGACAGGCGCTGCTATCTATGAAGCCAACCGAATCGCCGCCGCCAAAGCGAAACGGGAAGCCCGCAAATCACAAATTCGCCCAATACGCAACGCCACCGCACAACCGCTTCCAACGTGTCCTCGATGTCAACGGACATTCCGGGCACGAACCGGACTTGTTGGACATCTTCGAACCAACTGCACCTCTCGCACTGCTCCAGCCATCGCCCCCCAGCCCGCCGATTCCTCGTCCTCCCTGCCGCCAACTAACTCTGACACTCCTTCTGCACCACCACTTCCATCCTCCTCCTTCTCCTCCACTGCCCCAGCGGCGGCCGTTCAGACTGCCGTCTCACAAATCACCAACCCCAACTCAACAACCGACATCACCTCTCCCACCTCTCCCGATTCCAGTGATGAGGATCAGGACTACACCTGCTCTCACTGCGACCGCACCTTCACCTCTCGCATCGGCCTGGTCGGTCACTTGCGAATCCATCGCACAGAGACTGGCGAACCAGTGCCTGGAGCACCAACCTATACCCACCGCACTCGCCTCCACTGCCCACACTGCCCTCGCACCTTCACGCATCGCATAGGTCTATTCGGCCACATGCGCATCCACGACGACCTGCGGTAGACAACCGCCGGTCACACCACACATTCCCTCACTCCCTACCTCCTAACACCATCACCCCGCCAGACATCAACCCTCACACACCTCATGCACTCAACTGCCGCCTCTCACGCAAGTGGGAAGTGTGCATCTCGACTCGGTCCCAATGCGGTTTCGGCTGCACGGGTGACTTGTGTCCGAGACTATCCCGACACGACAAGCGTCGTGGATAGGAAGGTTGCTGATTGAGGCCGGCTCTCGGTTCACGCAGTTCGTCACGTTGTGTGTGTGTGTTGTGTGGAGTGGCGGACTGGTGGGCTGGGGACGGGCTGCAACAGCACCTTCCACGGCACTCTCACGCAAGTGGGAGACACGCCGTTCAACCCCCGTTGTGTGAAATTCTGGTGTTTGTGTGTGTGTGTATGGGGGGCCAGGTCGTGCTGTGGCGCGCGCAGTCATGGTCAGTCGACCATGTCAGCCACCGCGCCCATTCACCACTCCAGTTTGCCGACCGGCTCGAACGGCGGCTGGAGTGTGGGAATGGGAAGGGAGAGTGAGGTCGACGACTCAGCGCACTTTCTCCTCATTATGATCAATCTGACGCGCTTGAAGCTATCACGGTGCGCTAAAAGCCGTGGCTTGGAAGGTTGCCAACTGACGGGGTACCTTGGACCTCCTCCTTAACGGGAGGCGGTCTGAGAGTCAGGCTGCAATGGCTCCTTTTTAATGTGGCCTTTATGACATTCCCACCACAGCGTGGGATCCGAGCCAGGCGTTGGCGGCACGCCTAGGTGCGGCTTCGGCCGTGCCAGCCTCCAAATCTCTGTTGTGTTGGTTGAAATCCTGGTTATTGTTGTGTGGACCAGGGGGTGTGGTGGAACGCCAAGGTTAGGATCCGTCCGAGCCATCCACCTGCGGCCTCCCTCGTCTCCGGTCTTCTTGACTCTGTCTTGACACCGGGCCCAGGCGGGGGAGGAGGAGGGAGTGCAGGTAGATGCAGCGCAAGTCTACTGGCACTATAAACCCCTGCGCAAGTCACCGTCCCTGCTCCCACAATGCAGTCTGTGGGGCACACGGTGGTCATCGTCGAAATCGACGGACGAACTGTCGTGTGTGTGTGTGTGTGTGTGTGTGTGTGTGTGTGTGTGATGTGTAGGGGTGTCAGCGGTGGGTTCACGTGATGGTCGTGGTGGTCGCTCACTTGCTCGCAGGTGAGACTACGCGCAGCGTTCATTTGCTGGCACCCAACTCTCACCTGTGGCTCCACGTATTTGGGCTCTGCTCAGCGGCCCGGAATGTCCGTTCACATCGAGGACATCTCGAGACGAGGCTCTGCCTGGGCCATCGCAGGAGGCGGCCATGTAAGTGAATCCTCAAATAAGCGAAATTCGCTCTGCTTTCCTTCCTTAATTGTTTGTTTAAATTCCGTGCCGTATGCTGATCTTGTTGCCTGCTCCGTACCTTTTAGTTTCTGCATCTCTCTGCTAATAACTGGACGTTACTGCGCTTGACTTCGAATGATGCCTTCTTATTTGCCTGCTGATTTCCCGTGCTGTCCGCTGCTCTTGTTGCCTGCTCTGCGTCTGTTTGTCTGTCAGTCTGTGCCTCTCTCTGCTACTAGCTTGGTTTTACTGTGCTTGACTTCGAATGATGTCTTGCTACACCTCCCTGTCAGATGACTGTGTCTGCGTGTCCTTGCTGCAAGTCCCGCAGCGTTCTGTTTTGCGTCTGCTCTCTCCTACTTAACTCCACCCCATCACCACCAAGGTCCCAGTCTAACTGGTGTCGTTCTCTCACTAACAAAAAGCCGTGGTCCATAGTGGAGTTCGGCAGCCCTAGTTAGGGGGTGCGCTGCCTGCCCTCGCGAGGGGGAAGGGGCTAGAAAAGGTGCCTTCAAAATTGCTGGGAACCACGCTGTCTGTGGGCTGCCCGTGGCCGCAGACAAAACACACACGGCCTAAACAGCTAAAACTGTAGTGCAAACCTGTAGCTCTGTATTGCATCATAACGAATGTTGCGCTGATTGCATTAAGGCTCACGCACCATTCACAAAGCAAGTGTCAGTCGCGAACAGTCTCACGCCAGTCAGGGTGCATCGCCTAGCAATAAGATCGTCTGATCTTGTGCGGAAGGTGGAGGGAAGGGGTGTGTGGTTGGGTGGGGTTTCGTGCATGCAGATTGGAGTCGAGCTCGAGTTGTGTGTGTGAGTGTGTGTGTCTGTGTGTCAGAGGGTTATCGACCCAGAGACAGGAGGATTGCGCACCATCAACTCGGTCTTCACAGCCGTCTAGCTGCGACTGGTGCTCCGAATCAAGCCTGCTCTTCGCCTAAGCTCCATGTAATAGTAGGCTATTTGGAAGGTTATTTTGAATTGATGACTTCCTGCCACTCTATGTCACGCACGGTGTGCTGTAAAGCCTCTTGTCCATCAGAATTATTCAAACGCTAATTAAAAAACTATTCTTCTAGGCATAGGTTCATGGTTTGATCCTGGGAAGGATTAACGTTAGTGGGGTGAGTGCGAGAGCAAGAATCCACGATTTGAGGCAGAGATTCAAGCTCTCGTTTCCAAATCAGCATGATTGGATGGACGTTCACAAAGACTGGCGTGTTCCGATGTCAATCACGACTTCACCGCATTTGGTTCACGTTGAATGTAAACAAAAGATTTCTGACCGATCATTACCGATATTTACAATGACTGATTAATCATGCCTTGCTTTTCGAAGAAATCAAGTAGGCCGTTTCTCTTAGGAGCAACTTCGGAGACGGAACTGTCTTAATTTTCAGAACAGGAACTTACTCTTAATAGTGATATTTTACTGTGAAGAAAATCATTCGATCACTCAAGCGAAAGTAGTGTTCACTTGGGGTTTCAAGTTCATTTTCGAACAAGGACAGCAACAGATTGAAGTTGTGGACCCACAGAGGGTGAAATATGCATAGGCTGCACACGCATATCTTCTTCTATATAAATAAAAATGGAAGGGTTTTTCCGTGTGTTAGAGGTAATCTCCGAAAGTTCTGTACCGATTGTGCGGAGCTTTTGATACAACCTTGGCCACGCATAGGGCTGGGTTTTTTCTGCCTACCTTCATGATAATGCAGATGGTATGTCTGTGATGGGTAAAAAAAATCGGATATTTTCCTGCATAACAACGCCACCTGCTGTGGCCCCTTGACCTACATCCGCTCAAACACACGTGCATCCCGACGGCCGCGTTCTCCGCTCCCCCCCCCTCCCCCTGCAGACACTTTACCGTGCCCTCCCGCCTTGCCGATGCAATACGGGCCGCTAGAGCAAACCCCGCATGGGAGAAAAAAGACACGCAACTCTTGGACTCCATTTGAACTTGCCGCACAACACACATAACCGGGCTGTCACCGCTTCCACTGGGATTCTCGGCCGCCACCGGATGCAGTTACCAC